GCCCAGTCCGCCATGTGGCAGCACAGTGGGCTAATTAATCACATGGCAGAGACGTGGTGAAACCGGCAAAGTTCATTAGGCGGCACTTACCGTGAGGTTGATACATGTCAGCAGCTAACAGTCAGATGACATAAAGGGATCAAAGGACTGCAAAAGCGAAAGAAAGTGCGGACTGTGTGCATTTGAGAAAGGAAAGCGGTGGTGAAGGACTCGGGCAGCGCTCCCAAGGTAGCAAGAGGTATGCTCAGTCTGGGATCAGCCACTTCTAGCTCGCTGGGCTTTCACTGGAAAGCTGTGCAATTTGCTGTTTTACCCATTAGTAGGAGCAGCAACCTCAATTCATGTCTCTAGTGCCAGGTTCTGTTAGGGTTTTTTTTCAACCTTTTTTTTTTTTTTTTTTTTTTTTTTTTTTCTCCAAAAATTTTTTTTTTATGTGAACCTGATGCAGGGTCAATGGGCAGAGGCTGCTTTTTACGTGTTTAAGGAACGTGTCCAGCTTTCACAGTGCAGCTGTACAGCATGTGCTGAATCAACCTCAGCGTGACCTGAGAAGCTGCGGCCTTTAAAGACGGGTGTCACCTCTGTGAAACTAGCTAATTGCTCACTGTCCCAACTTCAGTGAAATTGGGAACAGTTTTTGGATGGTAGATTTTAGTCTGTTCCACACCAGGACAATTCACTGTTTTTCTTAACCTGAAGTTTGAAACAGAAAGAGAGACATGATGTTCTCCCATCTGGTTAAATTAAAATAGCATTGGTGTGAGATCAAGCTTACATTGTAAACTAAACATGAGCTGGAATTTGATCAGAACTTACTGCTCCTATGAGCTTTTGCTCTGGTAAGGGAAGGTAGCAGTGCCTGCAAAAATAGGAGCCCTGCTCTCTCCTGACAGGCAAGACCTCTGCTGCTGGTTTTTAAAGATGTGAAGTTTGTCAAGGACTTGGCATCTTTTGGTTAAAAGATGCTGTGCTCAGGGTTGCATACAGTTTAAAAATGTAGCACAAATTACTACGGTAGATCAATCTGCCTGTAGTAGCTCCTAATGAAATGGATCAGTCTGGTTGGAAGCTAGCCAGCAGGCAACCCAAGTTTGGTCACATTAAGTGAGATACTTTTTTAACAGAAGGTGGAAATTAAACACTTACTCAAGTCCTGCAGTCTTGAGTTGGCAGGATTTTCTTACTGCGTCCATAGTATTACGGCTTTCTCTTGCTCTAGGTGTAGTGACACCAAGAGGGGAAAAAAAAAAAAGCTCGTGGAAAAAGGTGTGGTTAGAAGGATTTTGGCTAATTACAGTGGATTTAGGGGCAGTACGACCATCAGCCAGCAGAGGCTTTTGTAAACTGTAGCATGGGGGAATGGGAAATACAAACTAGTTTTCGAGCAGGGATTTCGCTTAGGGGGCTACAAGGGAGCACGGTCAGCTGCAGCCTCTGCTGGCAAAAGGGGAGGAGGCAGGAGCAGCCACAGCTGATAGCAGTGGCCTGGAAATGTGGGCAGCACTGCACAGGAATCGGGGGGCTAGCAGGGAATCATCAGTGTGCTAGGGGGGAATTGGGGTGCTAGGGGTAAGGAGAGGCCTCTGCCTTGCCTGCAGCCCTTGAGGAGGATTGCTGGGACCAGGCCTGCAGAGCTCTGCTTGCTCCTAAGCTAGGCTGCCCCGGGAGGGCAGAGCAAGGTACTGCCACTACGGTCTGCACGCTGTTGTTTGGAGAGGGTGTCGGGGATAATGGCACATTTAATTCTGGCAGCTGTAGTGGAACAGCACTCAGTAACGTAGGAGTGTTCATGGGAGCCCACCAAGGACCAGAGTGTGAAAACCCTGGTGCATGGAGGGTTGCATGGGAATCATGCTTGTGAGCCTGCGGGCTGAAAATTGGACCATACCCCCAACATTTTTCGTTGCTGAGTAAGCACCTTGGGGTAGAGGAGATTTAAAAAAAGAAAAAGTTGAGAGATGATTTTCCCAGAGTCGGGTGGGGATTTTTGGCAGGTGTCTCATATTAAGCTCTGTGCTCAAACAGTGCAATTTTTTTGAGCTATCCGAGCTCGTGGTGCAGCAGGTGTAATTCCTGCACTACTCAGTAAAAGGCTAAGTAGCTGTCACAGCCATGAACGCTCTCTTCTGTACCAGTGCTTGCGTTCAGCAGTCATGGGATCTCTTGAAAATTAACTTTCCACAGTTGCCTTTCTGTTTTCATATTTCACTGTGGGTGTAGGTATTGTGTTCTGTGACTGGAAGCTGAAGATGTGAGGGTTTTTTTATTTACAAGATTCCTCAGACTGCATTTGTAATGCAGTCACCAACACAACGTTGGAGGATCAGCACTCCATGTTTCTGCGTAAAGTGGAGAGGAATCGGGAGATGAGGTCCTCCCTGTACTCCGGACTTGTAGCGTAGGGCAGAAGCTCACGTTCAGAGCTCTCAGCTGGCTCTGAGTGTAGCAGCGGGGTTTTCTCATCTTACCCAATGCTGAAGCGGTTGCACCACCTCTTGTCATGGTGGGATTGCAATGAGCTTCTGAAGGCAATGGGCCTCCTGTTGGGATGTGCCAAGTACACAGGTACTCCTGGTCAGGGCTGGTGCGGTGGAGCAGGCGGTGCTTGCAACTCTGTTTAGGTGCAGCACACCCGCCTTCCAGGAAAAAGAAAATCCTTTATTCTTTTTCTTGGTGAATTTCTTCGATGCCCTTGTTTCTGGTCCCAAAAGCCAAGGCTGCCTTCTGGGGGAGGACGGAGATAAAGTGTATGGATAAACATGGAAAGCTAAACTTGTAAACAGTTTGTTCCAGATTTTTGTTTAGCTGTTGATGTAGCCAGTGTGTGACGCACGGGAAACACATGTGGATGGAACATATCAAAAGAAGGTCTGGAGCCACTCTGCTTTCACAGGGGCCAGAGCTTTCACATTGTCTTGCAGGCGGGTCCAGCATTCACTGCCTCTGAAGGTGGAGAAGTCTGTCTGTCTTCTCTTTGTGTTTTCTTCAGAGTGCTTGTGTTACTGAAGGAACTCATCTGCGGCGGTTTTAGTGCTTGAGGCTTCCAGCAGTTTCGGGATACAAGGGTTGCTTGAAGGGCCTTCTAGTCTGTGCACATCCTTAGGCTCAGCATGACCTCTCATTTTTTTAAAATGTTGTGTAATAACAAGGATCATTTAAGTGTTTACCTAAGCAAACACGTGACCATCTGTATTTCAGAGCTGGTCCCTTGCATTAAAAAGACTTCAATGTCTGCAGCTCTCATCTCGTGCAACCTCCTCACTCAGTTATAACTACCTTCTGCAGGGAATTACTAGGGTGTTCATAGTATACCAGGGCACAGCCTATATAGATTTTTAAAGTTAGTTATTAAACAGACACTTTTGTTTTGTCCAGGTACAGCTTGGCTTATGTAAGCGTAGGGAGAGCTAAAACTGGCTGGATGGTGTTGGGGTTATGTGTTAGGGTCTTCAAAAAAAGTTTTGTGGTAGCTTGGGCTCAAACTGAATAAAGTCACAGAAGTCCGGGTTCTTGTTTGGGACGCAGTCATAAAAAGTGTGAATTCCATGCAGCTAATATTGCAAAATAAGTGAAATCACATAATACACTCAGCTCTATTGAACGGCTGAAGCAGATTTGGGGCGTCTTTGGCAGCATGCAGTCTGCTCTACGGAAAGCAGCTGTATTCTTTCCTCCACGCCCTGGGAATAGGTTGCAGCATGTGTTTCCCAGTGCAACCAGCTGGCTCTGGCTATCCACATATAGGGAATGAAAAGCTCTTGGGTTTTCAGCCCTTTTGGGTGGGAATTTTTAACATGATGCCGTTATTTTAGAGATTGCCTCATTGGAAAGGCTTGGCTTGAGATATTTTGCATCTTTTCTGAACTGTTCAGCAGCTACAGGATAGATGCCAATTCACACAGACTGATGTGAAGTTTGGGCTGCAGCTGTAAGCTGTGGAGAAAACTTCCCTGAGACTGAGCACGTCACCAGTAGTTTTCTGAAGATGTTTCTCTGTGTGTCTTGCTATTGTGTTCAGTGTGCCTTGTGGAGGTTTTTGAATGCATTAGTTAGTGGTTTAGCCCTAAGGCATTGTATACACGTACTAAAGAACTAAAATGCTAACTTAAAATATGCTGAAATACATAGTGCAATACGTGTTCCATAGTTATGACACAGATGTACCTCTATTAAGTCTCTGTTTCACTGTTCCTTAAAGCAGTTCAACTGTAATCTCTCTTAGACAGGAAAAAAAACTATCGGTGCAGGTTACTTGCCCAAGTAAAGAACCCAAGTAGCAGATTTTGACAGCAATATCAGGAAACTTGGGAGTTTGTGATAAAAATTTTTCAACGGCAGTGTTTGACAAACTATTGCTGAAAGTTATTTCTTACGTTGGCTAGATAGTACCTATGTGTAACTATGTGGAAGAGAGGCTATAAACCCTTTTTAGTAGTTGACATTTATGGGAAGTGGTGGTGTCTTCATCCCTGGAGGGATTTAAAAGCTGGGCAGACGAGGTGCTTAGGGACAGGGTTTAGTGGTGGGATGGCAGGGTAAGGGAATGGTTGGGCTGGGGGAGCTTAAAGGGCTTTTCCAACCTAAATGAGTCTGTGATTCTGTGACTTGTAATGCTTTTGTTAGTGTACTTTTGAAATTTTTGGGCTATCTACAGGTTCAATGTGCGTAACTAAGAACTGGAATAAAAATGAAGATATGCTATTATGAACATGCAATATTGTTATGTATGTAGGATATATGTTAGAAAACTTTTCATCCATTACAAGGTGGAGCCTGAAAAGGAAGTAAGAAGCAAACACAAAGGGAACTGACATACCTGAGTAACACCCTGGACTCAGTAATCTGAGACTCATTATGAATCTGTGAATTCGAGAGGGACACATTGTCATTATAATAAATTTCCACCATAAAATATTACATGGAGGAATGTTGAAAGCAGGAAGTCATCTGGCAGCCTACTTGCAGATGGGAAGGATCATAGTGTGGATGTTGACTCACCATCAAAATTCATGAGAAGTTTGTCATGGGAGCCCCTTCTGACACGAACCGGGTTGTTAGCTGTTGCTAAATGACAGGGTAGTTTGTGTTGTGGATATAAAGCTACCCAGAGGCTGGATCTGAACTGGCAACACCACACCAGGAAAAAGTCCTCAGGTTATACTCGTATACTGCTACCACTGTTTGGGAATAAATTTAAAACAGTGGATAAAATGTTAAGAAATATTCACTGTCCTGCTGAAAAAAAAGAACATCTTTTTTTCAGTAGATGACTGCTTCTAATACCAATGACAAGTATTGATGTACTGAGTTACAACACTTAATGAGGATACAATGCAATACTAACTGCTTACTCCTTTGTTCTTTATTTGTAGGTCAAGATGTTGTTAAGTATAAAAAGTATCTTGTGGATGTACTCTACATTAGTTATAACATATATGCTACCTAAAGGTAAGTCTGTTATATGCAGAACCATTTATTAAAATTCATTTTAGTGGTCCGATCAGTAGGGTATTCCCCAGGACTCGAGAAGCAATCCAAACTCAGCAGATTCAGTTTCTGGTCTTGCCTCTGCCATTCTTTTTGCCACCCTGTGTAACTAACTTTGTTCCTGTGTTCTCCTCATTGCCTCATTGCACAGAAAACTCTTGGTGGGTGGGAATGTTTTTGGCAAGGTATTTAAATGCCTGTCTGATGTCTCCTGAGGTTTGTAAGTGCCGTTACTATAATTAAGTAATAATAAAGAAAGTGCCGTAGGATTACAGCGTGTAAAGCAAAATAGATTGCTTTCTCCAAATATTCAAGAACGCGTTTTAATCCTTTAACCTGTGCTTCTGAAATATCGGACCTCTTGGCCAGGTATGTCTCACACCTTCATTTTCCATGATCCACTAAGGAGCTTCTTGCAGTAGGTGAGGTGAGGGCTGATGGGGCAGGCTAATTTTAGTGGAGGGCAGACGCGTTCAATGTGAGCTTCAGCCTGGTGCCACAGAGGGAGCAGCGAACAGTGCTGGCAGCACGGGAGCGGGAGCAGGTTCTGGTCCCTGGGACAGACCTAGCCAGGCTGCAGAAGTGGTGAAAAAAACTGGGGAGGTTTTGGGCTGCAGAAATACTGGTTTGGCGTACCTCCCAGTCAGATCCCAATGCATGTGCTCATGTACGTTGTGCCACAGAAGCCTTTTGGGTCTATAGGTCACATCTTGCACCCTCTCTGTAGTCAGGGCGAAAGGTGCCACGTGGAAGTGCGAGACAGGGGAAAGCAGTAGCCCCAGTTTCTGCTTTGCTGGGGACATGCCTCTGGAGCAGGCAGCCTGGCTGCCAGCCCGCTGTTGTGGGGGACTGCCATGAGCTGACCTGGTGGCAGGTCCCTTGGCTGCTGGGGTCTGGAGCAAGGATGTGGTAAGGCAGCTGCGGGTCTTTGGTTTGGGTGAAAAGGAGGAGACCTTACTATTTCTCTACATGCTGACACTAAAGTATGTATTCATGTGTGGTTGCCATGGTTATTCGAAAGTTTGAGTCAAGCCTTTAGTAAGGGAAAGGCCCCTACAGCTGCTGCGGACTCACAAAATTGGGATAATAGCTTTCCCAAACCTCAAAGCAAGATTTTTCTTGATCTTTTTTTCCTTTTATTTTATTTTTTTTTTTTCATTCTTTTCTTTCCAGGAACTTCTTAAACTGATTTTAGCCTTTGGGAAAATAAAATGTGCTAGGTTTTCTTTTTCCCAGCTTGAACACTGTTGCTAGCAAAGTCTTTGGGTAGTCCTGAAAGATAAAGGAAAAGACCTTTGTGCTTAGTGCAGCCAACTAAAAAAGTGTGATTTTTTTTTTTTTTTTTTTTTCCCCTCAAGCAGGTTGGGAGCACCAACCTTTACTATTTCCTACCATCAGTTCCTTCTTAAAGCTGGTTTTCTTTTTTTTCCATTTTTCATTAAACAGGCCAAGGCGATTAGACTTGTTCTCAGGGACAACAGTCTCAATGCTTCAGACAAGGAGCAAGCCACTAAAACTGAGCTTCCATTTTCTTATTTGTGGGGGGCTGAGGCTGATTTGGTTATTAAATGTCAAGCTTTTTTTCTTCCTCCCAGTTTTTGATTTAGTAAAGTGTCTGTAAGTGTAGACTGATGTAGGGATCTTGGATCCACAACTTGCATTTCATAATTTGTTCTTATGAAGCATTTGGAGAGGCAAAGTAAGCAATTGCCAGAAGAGACCATGGACTTGCAATGTAAGTCTACATGGTGAACTTGCAAGTTTTTATTTGATAAGGTAATTAATGAGGGCTTATAAGAAAGAGAGAGAAACACTTTTTACCAGAGCAGGACAAGGGGCAACAGTTTTAAACTGGAAGAGAGTAGGCTTGGACTGGACATAAGGAAGAAATTTTTTATAGTAAGGGTGTTTGAGACACTGGCATAGGTTGCCCAGAGAAGTTGTGGATGCCCCCTCCCTGGAAGTGTTCCAAGTCAGGTTGGATGAGGCTTTCAGCAACCTGATACGGTGGAAGATGTACCTGCCCATGGCAGGGGGTTAGACTAGATGGTCTTTGAAAGTCCCTCCCAATCTAAACCACTCTGTGATTCTAAGTTGTATAGCTCTTTTTAAAGCAGAAATGTCTGTTTTAAGACACAGGAAAAGGAAGAACTCCTAGCAATAATCAGCTTCAAAACAGAGTAAATGGTAGCACATCACCCAAGCGAGGAGAGGTCTAAAGATAAGATTTTGCCTGAAAATCAACCTTGGGATGGAGAACATGTGAGGAGATAGAACAAGTAAGCAAAGGAATCTGACAAGAAATATAAAACTAATGTTTCTGTTATAACCTACGTTCAATAGGTCATAACACGTTTACTTAGGGCACAGTTCCATGGCCAGTCTAATCGCACATATATATTTTAGCACTAGATGGGATAGTCCTGCCCCTTTTCCATGCCCTGGTGCTAGTTTTTGTGCTTTCTTTTGTGCTGACACTAGTATTTATGGGGGTATATGGCCAGCTGAATCAGGTAAATGACTTATTTGAATGAGCATATAGCATTTCTTGCCAGTTATTTTTCCACTGGATCAGACCTTTGATCTGACTCACTGCCTTGCACAAATCCTAGAGGTGGCAGAACACAGGGATTGGAAGTTCATCACTGGAAGTGGGGAGGAGTGGGATGGATCCTTAGAGTGGTAGAACATGGGATTTCACCTTGATTTACTCCACTTTTTATCACCTCTTAAATGGCTCTTCTTGTCTCCAGTCTAGAATTTTTAGTATTTAAGCAGCTTCTGTATGAACATCCCAGTAAGGCCTTCTCAGGAATATAGACCAAGTTCTGACTGGTCCTTATTTGTCTGAATCTTTTGGAAGGAGTTCAGAAAGACCCTTTTGTTCCTAGAATGCACTATGAACTTTGTGGGTTTTATTTTTGAAGTTGGGGGCCATACTTTTGTCATGGAGAGTATTATACTTGTTCAAAGTATGGCCATGGTGAAGAAGACAAAGATGAAAAACTTTTTCATGAATTGATCCAATAGAGTCTGTGGGTTCAACTCATATCCTTCTGTTTTGTAGAAATGTCAGTCAGTTTGTGTAATAACATTTTTAAGTATGAGTGTTACAGGTAATCTTTACAAGTACAGCTGTTTAAAAAATACTCTAAAAATAAAATACATCTCTGCATTTCGAAGAGTTAGACTTCATAAGTTTCAACTTTTTCCTTTTAAAATCTTGAATTCAAATATAAAATTGAAGCCTTGAAATCTTTAATGAAACACAAATTCCCATGCTTCCATTCCCACAATGGATTGCATCACTTCATATAATTTAATGAAATTTAATTATATAGTCACTTCACTATGACGCATTGCAATATTTTCTTTAAAAATCTTTCAGGCTAAAGTGGTCTGAAAGTTCTACATTTTTCTTTTGAGAGTCATATGGGAAATTTGTCAAAATCAGCAGTTATTTTTAAAGCTTACATCCTGGAATCTGTGAGTCTTTATATTAAGTGATAACAAAACTGAAGCTTAATTTAGAACACAGCAAGTTACAAGCATGCAAAGCTTTATACATTCACCACTAATCATTATTCCCATCTTTGTTTTCCCTTCCACTCTCATCTTTGTGAATGGTCACATTCATAAATACCTAGCGTGTTTGCATGGCGTGCTCATTAGATTTTATGTAGCAACAAAAGTATTTTTCCTTTGAAGGCAAATTGAGAATGGTCTTGCATGGCTTCTTTAAGACTTTAAATTCTCAGAAGATGTGTGTCAGGAAGGCAGCAGGAAATACGGTGTAAGCTTCTGGGGTCACGGGAGTGCCCCTCTGCGAGACCTTTGCTGTTTGCTCTGCTACATGTGAAGGATTAATGACAGAAGTTCATGAGCAAGGTTTACGCCTACTGCTAGTGTGGCATTTACTCACTTTGAGCTAGCTGGTGTTAGGATATTGTAGTTTACAAGCTGGACCTTGTGATTGTGATCAATGTTGGAGTTTATCTTACCCGTTTTAAGCGACTGTTTGTCATACCATGAGTGAGTATGCTTTTGTGAAAGCCCTGTAATCCAGAAGACAGTAGAAATCCCCTAGATTGCAGTGTGTGATATGTTCTTTCAAAGGTATATAAATAGTATACCAGTTTATGTTCTATATGTGCTATAAAATACATGTGTGCATGCCTATGATGTCTGCATATGCTATGTTGAGTTCTGCAGCTGAGATTCACATTTCCCTGGCTTCCTGTGAGTTTCTTGTAGAATATGACAGTAGTCGGTTCTTCACCACTCTATGCCTCCTTCTCTTATTCTGCTTGCTCAAACCATTGATTGCAAAGAACTCAGTGAGCATCTTTGCTGGGTCTCAGTCTGTTGTCAGAGTTTCATACAAGTTTGTGTAAGTGGTGCATTTATTTTAATTTATCAGTATCTTCATTAAAAGATTTATGGTTAATGGAAAGACTTCTCTTAGGCTCAATGGTAGTAGTCAGTTTAACAAAACACATAATTTCATTGATTCGTTCTATTGCTGCTGGTAGGCAGGGCAGTGTACGACATGTCTAGGGAGGATGTTGATGAACTAAAAAATGAGATTCACCTTTTTTTGTTCTCATAAATTTGGCTTAAAAGAAATAAAATCTTTTATTCTTTAAGCATGTAGTTTTTGTTTGCATAGTAACATGCTGTTCAGTTAAGCTTAATTATATTGGAAAATTGCTCCTCTAAGCAGTGTCCCTTCATGTAGGACATTCTTTTCTTCAGACTTCTTGTCCATTACAGACCCACTGGTCTGGTTATTATGGTTAATGTAATACAAAAGGGCAGAATTCTGTCCTTTTTTTTTTTTTTTCTCTTTAGATTTCTATTTTAAAGGGTTTGTAACTTTTACAACAGAAAAAATGTGCAAATTCTAATGAAAGAGACTTTGTTCTCAAGCAAGACGTTCTGTAGTTTGTCTCCCACTTCAAAAGAAAGGTATCAAGCTATGTGCCATCGGCAGGATAAGCTGACTTTGCAGCTGAAATGGTAGACTGGGAGGACCTAAGGCAGTTTTGCTGGGGAAAGAAACATGAAAAGGCAAGCTGGAATTTTTATTTTTATTTTTTTAAAGAAAGAGCGTGCCACATGCCGTCATCCTCATGATAAATTGGTACAAATGCATAGCCATAGCTTTAGGTTTGGAGAAAATATGACAGTAATAGGTTGTGGCAAAATCCTACCCAGTAAGTTAGACCTGACAGGACTGTCTTCTGTCAGGACATCTCATTGGAGAAGTTTCCATTCTGCATTCTGTTCCTGCTACTTATTCTGATGCTGGAGTTGTTTAATATTTAAACAAGGGAAGACAACAAAAATATCCAGCTGCAAGGCACACTGTCTGTTGAGTCTGCCTGTAATCTGACTGTATTGTGCTGCTTTTGGCCCAACTCTGTAGTCCCATCATCTTGTACAAATCTCCAATTGACTTTGCTGGGAGTTCTGCCAAGATATATATTTGTGGCCAGGTGATTTGGACTTAGATGTATATTTTATTTCTTTACTGTCTATGTATTTTCCTTAATACATTAATTATGCATGAGTGATACATATTAGTTAGCAACATAAAAAAATGCTTATATTAATCGCCAGCCAGCTTAGTAATTTCAAACCCACCCTCTTGTTTAAGAGTACATGATGTTACAAGTATTCTAGGTCCTACGTGGCAAGATGTGGTATAAAACAATGTTGGCAAACACCTGCTTTTCTCATCCTATGTTCCAATTTACATAATGTTTTGTTCATAATTTTGCCCGCCATGTCCCTTGTAAGGAATAGTCTATCACATGCCATTGATAGTGGCTGAGAAGGAGGCATAATGCGGAGTATAAGCATAGAGAAAGTTCTAAAGGAACAAAAGGGCTATATGGGTTAAGAGAAGATATTGATGCTTTCTGCATTGGCCAGTAAATTCTGCTTGACTAACTAACTTGGACTGCTGCAAGAAATCAAGCTTTTTGGAACTAAGCAGGAACATCACTTAATCATATGTTTCAGTGCCAAATATTTCTTTCGTCAGTAGGGAAAACTTCTCCCCTCTTCTTCTTCCTTATTCTTCTCCCCTCCTCTTGTGAAAACAAGGAATGCTTTTATATAGTGTTTTATAATGCTTTCTACAGTTAGATGGGCATGTTTGTAGCTACATGGTCTCCTGTTCTGAGATGTAGCCCAATTTAGGGTGGACCTAGTTTGCGTATCATGATGATATGTGTTGTTTGCCAAGGGTTTCAGCCTGCTGATGCGAAGATGCAAATTTTAAAGAAAGGAAATTTCCTCAGGGTTCAGAGCTGATATTCCAGATCATTCATAACCAGAAACAACATTCTTAAAACTTTATTAAAATTCTGTCAGTCAGGATAATTATAATCAGGTCATTTTTCATTTAAGAAGTTCCTGTAACGTATATAGATGACAAGAGATCATAATAAATACTAAATATTTTGAGACTGATTTTAATCTCCCACCTGTGCAATTTGGCAGTAATTCCATCACAACTGAGAGGACTGAGTATTCATTCTGCTTCTTTATCTCTGCCCCACTGTAATTCAGTGAAGTTTCAAGAAATAAGAGGTGATATAAAAGGCAGTGGTGTTCCAATACTGTACATCTTCAGGATAAAATCAGTCCTTTCTAGTTTTTAGCAATCATTTGACTCTAGGCAAGTTGAGTTTTTATTTCCTTGTGGAAGGAAAAAAAAAGCCTGCAATGGATTATTTTTTTTTTTTTTTTCCTAAAGGAGTGTGTATGCAATCAAAGCTTTTGACCTATTCTTTAGTTTTCAGTAACTTCTACAGGCTTGTCTTCAAGCCCTGTGGATTCTCCAGTCTTCAGATTTATATTGGACCTGTTTTGTCTTATCTTGTTTTACAAATAGATTCTTGCTAGCTCTGGGCCCCAAGTGTATGAAGTGATTTTTTTGTTTGACTGTCAGGTGTGACTTGTACCATCACTGGTCTCTGTTTACAAGTTCATGGAAGAATGAAAATCTCACTGCATGCCTGAATCACAGAGTGAGCATCTTGTCGATAAATGTGCTCTGATAGTGCCATTCCGTGTGAACTTTTCAGCTGAGCTTTGGTTGCAACACAGCTGTTTGGGCAGAGCACTACCCCATTATTATACTATCTCTGGTCTCATCAGTTTTGATACAGTCATCTTGAGTGTGTCTATCTGCCTCATGTTCCTCAGAAGTTCTAGTTAGGTAGGCATGGATGGAAAGGATCAAAGGACTTCCATTCAAACTTCTGGGTCTTCCTTGGTCAGGTTTTTTTGTTTTTCTAGTTAATACTGTACTGGCAAAATCCTTGGCCATCGAGCTGATTATTCTTGTATTGAACCTTTTTAGATAATACTATTAATACTTTATCCTCTATGAAGTCATCTGTCTCTGTTAAAAATAATTAACTTAATAGCAAATTTTTCTTTTTTTTTTCTTTTTTTCTTTTTTTTTCTTCTTTTCTTTCCCCCCAAATCTTATACTCTTCATGGGGAGAAGATATTTTTGATGATAGAAAAATAGCTAGATAATTTTCATATGCTGGTGTCTCCCATTTCATGTACCACTCTGTTGGTGGCTAGTATTTGAAGTTATTGTGTTCCTAAAATTTGTGAATCCTAGCTCACTTCAAATTAATGATCAGCACGTTCCACCTTTCAAAAACTGTTAGAGTGCAAGACAGTGAAAGTGGTAAGGCAGATACTGTTGTGCTTCAGCTTTTAATCTTCATTAAGCCATTATGTATGGTGAAATAACATCACATAAAAAAATAAATCTAACAGAAATCCTCTCTTCAGACCATCGCTGTGTGCAGTTTGGATGAACAGTAGTCAACGTTCCCCTCAGGATATTGTCAGATGGGAGCATTTCACTGTAAAGTGTTTGCAGCTGGAGATGTCATAAAAGATGATAAAGGTCCTATCATGTCAAGTTTGAGCCAAGAAGGGACTTTCTGTGCGCTTTACTTCCTTCTGTGCTTTAACATCCTGTAATACTTTATTTCTGCAATGTGTTAAAATCCCTGAGGCTACAAGGAAATAATTTTGAAAGTATGACTATTTGGGAGAATCTCACTGGAAAGGCTTTTGTTTCAGCATGTATGCAATAAAAAGAGTTAACCCTTGAAAGAATAATGAAGTAAGAGTTGTCATGTGTGCAAAGTCATGGGCTGTGTTTTAGTCGTAGGACAGGAGCAAATGAAGATGCTCTTGTGAAGTAAGGCAAGGTGTAAACCTCAGTGGCTCCCCTGTATGCATGCTTTTGGCCAGCAATAGGTGCGAGGTAACTCGCAGTCTTTCACTCAGAGTGGTCTTCCTCTTGTGAAGTAAAAAACCAGCTCTTACAGTTCATCTGTCACCTAAGATTTCAAAACAGTTTCCAAAGTAGTTCAATAGCTTCATAGCTACAACAAATGGAGAAATTAAGTGAGAGAGCAGTGAAATGAATTTGCCCAAAGAGAAGAGGGCTCTGTCAACAGCCTAGAATAGTGGTGCAAACTCTTTTTTTAGCTTATACTAATCAATCCTCTTACAAATCAGCTAAGGTTCATGGATTTTAGGACTTGCACGCCTTGTGAATCATGAAATAACAACGAAATGTATGTGTCTGATTTTGTTGTTCCACTAATGTGATTTCTCTTTTCTCTTCCCCCCCCGCCTCCTTCTTTAGTTAAAGCAGAAAAAAAAACCCTGGTAAAGGGATCCCTCTCCGGAACATCAGTCCTGCCATGCTTCTTTTCAACCACACCCACTATAGCCTCCAGCTATGCAGCTGAGTATCTCCGAATCAAATGGTCAAAGGTTGAACTGGATAAAAGTGGAAAAGATGCAAAAGAAACCACAGTCCTGGTGGCCCAAAATGGCAACATCAAAATAGGTCAAAGCTACAAAGACAGAGTGTCTGTTCCGACCCATTCAGAGGAGACCGGTGACGCTTCGCTGACTTTCTCTAAGCTGCGTGCAAGTGATGCAGGGGTGTATCGCTGTGATGTTATGTACGGAGTTGAAGACACACAAGGCATTGTATCACTGGCTGTTGAGGGTAAGGATTCTCTATTGCATTTGGAGTCAACGGTGGTTCCAGTTAAAACAGTAAAAGTCAGTAATTAATGTATAACTAGAGAGCATTTAAAGAAGCGTCTTTAGCAATTTGCCCTTCCTTAACTGTTTGCTCTTCCCATTCTCTTTCTGTCTTTTGTTTATTCTTATGAATCTTTTCCAGTCCGTAATCTCTCATTTCTCACTTACACCTTTGAGTAGGCTACTCTTGATTCCTGGAACAAAAGCTGTTTGTGTATTCATGAAGTTGTTTGATACTTTGATTGGGTTTATATCCTTTGCAAGACAAGCCTATCCTTTTACTTCCCTTTTCTTTTGGGAGGGGGCGGTGGAGGAGAAGGAGATACCTCTAAAGTTTTCTCAAACCAGCCTTTTTGAAACATGATACGTATTGTACTAATACATCTGTCTGAAAATGTCGGTGTCCTTGCAAGAAAGCAGACTTGGCAGGCAGCAGCAGTTTCTTTTTAATTGTTTGCATTGGATGAAAAGAAGCAACTGCCTTGCTACTGGAGCTGTGGTTGGCCTATCTTGCCACTTGATGTCCAAAACCATAATGCCAATGAAACTAGGAGCCACTCTTTCTGTGATAGGAACATCAAACACAAAGGAAGAGTTTCTTTCATCGCACTAATAAAGATTGGATTGCTAGGAGGAAATCCATCTGGCAGAAGATGCAGGAAAACAAGTAGGGAGGTGGCTGCCTATGTTCCTTCATGTGGAGGATCCAGGGCTAAGAGTTTGCTTGCCATCACTATAAGGAAATAGCCTCCAAAACTTCGAGGGAGAGAAGTGTACATGTAAAGAGACAGAAGAGACAGGACTTTCAAAAGCATGTAAGCGGCAAAAGGAGCATCTGATCTATAGGTGATTTTCTCCTAAGAGCCTGCTTATACAACGTGGTAAGTACAGCGTAGATTGCTCCAGAGCCTGGTGCCATATAGCCCTCTCAGGCTGGCCCTGAGCCTGAGCTAACAAACTGTGCTGAAAGGCAGGACATACTAGCCCAGGCTCTGTGCCACGTAAATGCAAATTCTGGACCCAAATTACTCTGCGTGCTTAGAACAACACTGTGGTGTGTGGATGTACCAGCTCGCGTGAGCCTGAGTTTGGACTTTGCCTTGCACTCCTTTGCACTTAGGTGTTTTTTTGGAAGTTCAGTATTTACTCAAATGACTGAATCCCAAACCAAATATTAATAACTGCTGCTGGAAATTATGGCTTTGGCTAAGATTTTTTTTTTCTGAGCTTAATACTGCATTGTTCTTCCAATATGCTTAACCTAACTTAAACGGTCTTTTGGCATTGATTCAATGGAAGGCTTTAAAGGTGTGATCTTAATTTGGAAACACAATAAATCAGTGCAACCATTAATGTCTGTATAACTTCATAAACTCTTTAGTCCTAATGGCAAAAGCAAAAGAAATCCTGGTTTGAACATTACTTTTCAGTAACTAGTGTACCTGGCATTCCTTATTCCTTTTCAATTGCTCCCTTGACTACAAGTCTATATCCAGGAGCAGCAGCAGATGTTTACTACAATAAAATATCTGATGATTTATGGCAATACTTTCGCTTTTGTAGTTAGTGCTCCTGCAAAACACTGCAATGAGATATACTGGTCAGACTTTTTTTTTTAATTGAAAGAAATATTCACACGCTCCATTTTTTCTGCAACTGTTCTTTTCCATGATTGCTTTAATGTTAAAATTTCAGGAAGGGAAAAAGGCAGATCTTGACCCAAATGGAAAATAGCATTGTTAGATTGCCATTTGTGCACTCCATTCTCCATTTTCTACATTAAGTAAACAAATGCTCTTTATCAGACTCGTAAGGATTTCATGTGAATGTTGCTGCTCAAATCTTTTGCCCTCATTTCAGTAAGGCTTTATGATTTTTTTCTTATTTCAGCTTTAAAAAAAAAAAAAGTCACTTATTTCCATTATGCTGCCTTTTTGAATGTGCACCCCAAAGTGATAACAATTGCAGAGGCGTGCTTTTCTGTACACTCTCTGTGCATTCTTTGCTGCCTGCCATTAGCGTGGTGTGGGGCGATCTTTCCACGTTAATTGTAACTTTGGAGCTGATGGTTAGCGTGGTTCAGCACTCTGCTTTGGTCAGCTCTCCCAGGTAGAACTGGAGCTGGTGCTTGAAGGGCGACCCATGAAGTCCTGGTAAAATTATCACCCGTTTGGCTATTCTGCACATTTTATGCTCATCACAAGCATATAAACCATAAAATGTATTTGTGTAGTGCTCTTTCTCTGAGGAGTGAGCAGGCAAGCATTGCTTTAGCTTTTCAGTGGATTAAAAGTATGCAGAAAAAGTGGTAACTCTGTCTCAGGTAGTACTTGCTTGATCATATAGCTTAATCCTAAAGTGAAGCAGAATCATTTTATTAAAGATAGGAAGCTTCTGCAAAATTCCTTGTGTGGGACAATTCAGGTGTGGGAAGAAATGTTACTAATGCTTCAGAAAGCAACATTCGTCTGTTTCTTTAAGTGCCAGCACTCTTATGTGTGTTAAGTCTAATTTAATAAATTTCTCAGAAATGACCAAATGAAGTAGGCCAAAGCTTATCTGCATCGTTCAGCTGAAGTAGGTGAAATTGCTCTTTTGTTGTTACGATGATAACTTTGTGGGGTTTGTGTGCTTGTTTGTTTGGTATTTTTAAACTAATGCAGGACTTAAGTTCTAAATATTTTCAGGATTTCCATTTGCTTTATGGACATTCCCTCATTTGAAACTTTCAAACAAAAAACGCATCCCAGCATCAATGAAGCCAAGTAGATACGCTTATACAGCTGTGCTGTTTGTTTTCCAAATGAACCTTTGCAAGTAAGATAACAGATAATTTGGAGAGCTAACCAGAATAAGAAAAAAAATTACTGGAGCTGCTATTTCTGTCCTTTCATTTAAGTACATTAGGAATATAAAACTGCTATTGAACCCATTGTGCATCAAATGAATGCATTTTGCCAGTGATGGAATGTATTGTGAATGAAAAATAGGGTTTCTAAACAAAGAATATTTTTCCTTGCAGCATATGGTTTTCTTCAGGTTAAGCTGTACAAGCTGAAGAGTTGGTATTAGTCCTTGAAAGTAAAGAGTAAAAATTCTAATGACTACTTTTTTTCCCTGAGTTTCAAGACCATCTACAAAAGATGTGTATAATTGTGCATCTGTTTTTTTTCTGTGTAGCCATCACAACAGACAAAGCTGATAATGTGTATGTAAATATCCAGTTAATTTGCTGGTTTTAGATGCCAGAAGAACTTCTGAAATTTAGAAAAGTCAGATTTATGTTTTATTAAAAACAGCATATATACTAGTTTTACCAAGAAGATGGGATGTAAATGCAAAACTGCCTTTTTTTGACCATGAAAAACCAATGCTTCAGTATCGAATCCTACCTCAGCATAGGATTAACTTTAAAAAGTCGTGAGTAGAAGATTTTGTTTTTAATATAATCAACTGTTGCTTAATTTGTGCTCCTTGCAAATTAGGCCAAAACCAAACTCATGTCTGTACTATTTCAGACAAAAGATGTCTGTCCCAGTGTCCTGTTCCAGTGGAAGCAGCAATAGCTGATACCAAAGGGCAGATGTAATGCTTTCTCCTGCACACACTGTTGCCCTCAGAGACTTGTCACCCATGGACTTCCTGAGGCAGAGGTGATGGCTTTATGTTAGACAGTCCTGCACAGATTTTTTTTTTTCCCCCCATTTTTTTTTTTTTTGAACTTATGTAAATTTTGGTATCCACAACTGGGCTCCTGGTTAAGCCACCACTTAACCACAGCTCATTAAGTTATTTACTACTCACAAGGAAGATATACACCCACATTGCCTTTATCTCTACATTACATATTTCTACTACACCCTTTTTTTGACTGGTAAAATCTTTCTAAAGAATGGCAGGGTCTTGGAAACTGCCACAATTCAGTGCTTTTTCTTTGCTTTTGTTATAAGCACAACCTGTGCTAACTACTTGGGTATCAATAGCTGATTATATTCTGTTCGCTAGGAGCTCAGAGACATCACCAAGACACTGGCTTAGCATGGTATCTTGTATCCGCTGAGTGGTGCTTTAGCTGTATGTGCATCATTAGCTTGTGATAGAGGTAAAATAATTTTATTTGAACTTTGTTTAAATGGCTCGGCTTAAATCTAAGTCTGAACTGCCTTGTTTTTACTAGGGGTACAGTAGTGGTTGTGTTCATCTTGCTAACTGGGGTGACTTGGTTGAGCTTACAGTCCTTAGCATCTGGTCTGGGAAAGTCACAGCAATGTAGGACTAGAAGGGTATGCTGGGTCAATTAATCTAGTTCCTTTGGTATTGCATGTAAACATGTTACGTGCTGTGCTGTCATGGCTTTGTTAATCCGGAAATCAAGCGAGAGCACCGATTCACATGGACTATCAGGTGCTTTGCATGTTTCATCTCTACGATCAGTGGGGTTAGATTGAACTAGATTGAATGTTGCTATTTTCATTTTACAGCTGGTGAAAGTGTGAGAGAGAGGAGTGAAACAATTTTAGCCAACTCAGGAAGTTTCAGGGCAGACAGATGCCTGCCCTGCTCATTAATCGCGACCACAGAGCTGTCCTTGAGGCTGGGGACAGCACTAGTGCTGACAGGTCTACAGGCTTGCTCAGAGGGGCAGTTTTGTCACACCAGATACCTCTCTTCCTGTTACTAATTGTGGGAGATGCTTTCCGTGCACCCTGGTTGCTGCTATCACTACATCGACCTCTCAAGACAGGGATATTTTCAGTTCAAAATGGATCTAACAGTATTACAGTGTTACACACTTCAACTCCTTACAAGAAGAGAAATATCCAGAACAAGTAATTGCTATTAATTTTTCCTTCCACATGTTGTCTTCTCTGCCTTCTCCACATGTCCCTCTGAAATTTTCCCTTTTTCTCAGGAGCAAGTCTTCCTTTCTCACCTCTTGTAATTTCATCTTTCTACAGTGTT